TATATTCAATAGAATTCATTATTTATATTCTTCAAACAATTGTAGGATATTTTGTTGTCGTACTTAATAACCTTCATCCCAGAATCGAATTTCTTATACGTGAAAGACATTCATAAATAAATGCATTGATTACTTAAACTATCAGTACAGAAGAAAAAAAATCATAAATACTACTATTACATTCAATAGAATATGGATTTTTTTCTTTTGCTTTCAGGTACTTTAATACTATTTTTTCTACGCAAACGTCATGTCTTTTGGCTCTTCTATTCATTCACTTTATATTATATTCTATGTACTAACTATTATGCTTTGACGATTCTTTTCATAGTTAATAAAAGTTTATTTTTCTTTTTTTATTCAAACTGTTTGACTTGAAATGTTTAATACATAACAAGAATACTTGAGACTAAACTCATATTTATGAAATAAAATTTCATAGAAAATCATTGAATAATTAGTTTTGTTTATTCGAAAAATCGTTATAATATTATTCGATACTTTATTTACGTAACAGATGGTGCACATAATAAACGAGACAAAATATTCTTTTCTTTTTTTTTTTTAGAGAAGTTCTCTCAATACATAAGAGGCTTCATTTTAGGCTTATTCGATAGAGAATTTTCTGCTCTATGTTAGCATTAAATTTAAAAGATGAACATCTATTCAATCATCTAATTGATATGTTAAATTTTCTGCAGGCATCTATCGATTTTTGTAAGTCTTGACTCATTCAAACCGATGATAAAAGTAGAGTATTTCGTGATCTCTGCTGCTATTATTTCGAAGAAAAAGACTTTGATTGAACTAATATCTAGTGATATTTTGAGATACATTTTGGAAAACTGTTTTCCAATATGAGATTTTGTCTACGACACATTTGTTCTCATACCACTGGATGTAGAATTTAATTCTCAACCAAATAGTATGATTGTTAAATTGAAGAGTAGAAACATTAGGAAAAGAACAATGATGTAATTCTGTCAGAGAACGGTTTTTTCACATTTTTGACTTCACAAAATTTTCCCCTAAAATTCTGAAACATACAGAGTTTTATGGAAGTTTCTAAAATATTTGAAATTTCAGTAAAATCTTTATGAAAAATTTTTCTTTTTTTTTTTGACCGTCGCAGTTAGACGATTGAATAGGTGTTCATCTTTTAAATTTTCCGCCGATAAAAAAAAAGTTATTTGAAAAATAAAATCTTTAATATGTTGGAAAGTACTCTAAGAAAAAAATTTCTATTTATTATGTGCCTCTAATTAGTATTGAAAAATTCAAGTCATATCTTGATCATACGTCTTCAGATAAATTCTGGAAAGCTATTTTTATTTGGTTGTAGAAAATAATTTTGTGAGATTATTTCGTTGACTAAGAGTTTAATATGATTGATAGTTTTATTTGTTAATTATAGTAATTATAAAAACTGCTAACATGACTGTCTGCTAGCAAACGATGTCGCCACTAGGTGACCAGAATCGAATGAGCGCGGAGTGTAGGTGGTGGCAAGCTGTTTAATGGTGATGGAGATGTCATTCGCTTCCCTCGCTCCTCCAACATCATCAAAAACTGACACGAAGGTAGTTTCAGCAAAAATTTTTGGACTTTCTGCCAAATTTTAGCCCTATGTACTTTTAAAAAACATCTGGAATCATGTATACATCCCCTCCTCAGTCTTGAGATCCTCGTGAGGCCTCTGAATATTCGAAGAGATGACAAATGCGTTACCTAAGATATTCTTATTTTGTATAATTTTTTTTTTTTTTTTTTTTTATAAACCTATGACTAACATTTGCTCTTGTTCTTCTAACATAAATAATTATTCTGAATGTCAATTATCGTGTTTTACAACCATAGACTTGAATATGCATTAATTTCCCTATTGATCTCTGTTTTGTGAGCAATTATACATCATTTAATATTGATTTATAAGTAGAAGTTTTTGTCTTCATTTATAATGTATTCTTGTTGAAAAACAAAATTTTCTACCTCGTTATTCAAACGACATCTTGCTATTAGATCTATTGAATTGTAATTCATTATAATCAGTTGAAATTTTTTTTTTAATGTGTAGCAACAGATTAATTTTATTGTTTTTCGTTCATTGTACTAATTTGCAGGTTAATAGTACTGATTTTGTATTCATATTCTTGTTTACTTTTGATGTCTTTTTTTTTTTTTTTTATACTTTTTTGTTATCAATACATTGAGATTTATGTTCGATTTCGCTATCTATTAAATACAAAAGCATCTACACTTTGTACATCATATGATATATCGATTAGAATCATAAGAAAATATTACACAAATCATTCAAAATATCTTCAATGTTGACACAGAAAAGAATAATTCTACTGTTATTCTGTTTGTTTTTTCTTCAAGGGTTTGGTTTACAGAAAATAACAATAATACTAAGAACAGCTGGATCAGTTTATAATGATTGATTGACATTTATCATGCATACAATAATGCTAAAAACCAAAGCTTGTTATTTATCTAATCTGAATTGATAGAACCATACGATTAATATAAAGTGCTAGGCAAAAGAAATTAATATATACTGAATACTTATCATCTATCAAAGTAATTCCTTGATTTTCTGCTTTGTCAAATTTAAATTATAAATAGAATCAAAGAAATGACAACGTGATTTTATTTCCAAGGATAAAAAAGAAATAAATATGTCTATCTAATAGAATTTCTATTATAATAATAAGGATAATTGGCTTGATGATTAAGAGTAAAGATTTTGAAACAATGACAGAACTGTAAACTTTCTTTGGAAAAAATTTTTTCTAATGATAGATATTGTCTAATAACTAAAAGATTGTATTCCAAAATTCTATCCAAAATTATATTCAAATGACTAAAAATAAATTGTACAATCTATTATATATAAATACTTTTATTATTCTAATTTTTCGAATTATTATTGACTCTTCTCTTTTTTCATTTTCTATACAATAATTAGAGAACTGTACGAATTAATATTCGATTCAATGTTTAATCTATATTGTATGTATGCAAATTCATGAGAACAATCGAAAATGACTGCAAGTTATTATTTCAGTCTTGGATACTTCAATCAGGAAAGTGTAGTTAACATAATATCAAACTATAGAATGCTTTCAGTCATCCTAAATAAAGTGCTATAGAAATTATCAGTTTCCATAAAAGCTAAATTAATGTCACTTTTCATTTCTAGGTTTATAATAGTTTCATTTTTAAAGTAGTCTGCAACCGTGTAAAAATAAAAGTAGATTTATTTATACATACAAAAAATACACAAAAAAAAACAAATGGTTTAAAAACATTATCCTTCTATACGCTTAAGCTAATGATATCTTCGAAAATAGTTCGATTTTTCTTTTGTAGATGTTTCATATATGCAGTCTCGTTCTGCTACTAAGCTTAACGTTTCATTAATATTGTGATTAATTGATGGATATGTTCAAAATGATTTTCTAATAATCGATACTTGAAACAATATAATTAATTTGAAAAAACCACAAAAGTTTCTTTTTCTAATAACAATAACTTCTTTCTGTCAAGCACTACTCAAATTGGTTCTATTGAAAGAAACATCTTATTGAACGCTAAGTCATGTTTTACAAATAATATTGCATGATCAACATAATTGCAATGAAATAAGCAATCAATCATCTTTCATTGAATAAAATAAATGTTCTTTGTCATGCTGAAAAAATAAGATGTTCCATTGTTATGACGGTAAATAATCTCGATTCTTTTCATATACGTATGATAAGGGTCATTCAGTGCTTTTTAGAATGATATAATCATATTTGTTTTTCATCTCACATTCATGTTTATAAGATACAACAAACAATCAATAGAATTTAATCATAAACGAACAAGAAAATCTTTTGTCAAAACACAATAAACTGTGACCATATCTTAAGAATGCATATATATATATATATATATATATACATGATTGAACTTTTATGTTTTCATACACTATGTTTTTCAATAGTAAGTTCAGTTACTTATTGAACTCATATAAAAAAATAGAAATTGCTGCTAGGCTTCCTGTTAGTAATGTTAGTTTGAAACAAGAGACAAAAAGAGTAAGGAAGAAACAATTGTTGAAGACACAAAGCCAAGAAGCAAGTCACATCTTCCGATCAATTGGTCAAAAGTGTCTACTCATCTTTTCTCATCGATGTAACTGTCATCATTAGTAATATACCCATACTCACACAACATATAGACAGTCAAAGAAAAAAAAACGAGAGGGAAAAGAAAAAAAAACGAGAGGGAAAAGAAAAAAAAATAGAACTAGCGCGAGATAAAAAATGTAATTTTCTTTATATGTGGTACCATTAGTGATGACAAAAAAGAGGGAGAATGATCCGATCGTTAGTTTACATCGCATCGTGCGCGATCGAGATGGATCACTCGTACGGATGCGTAAAAAGAAATACTAATAAAATATTTCTATCTTTTCCATTCTCTATAGTTCTTTCCTTTTTTTTTGAGTCTAAGTATAGATGCATTCTTCTATTTTTTCGTGTATGTGTGTATGTGGTGTATTAGCTCAAGTACGATGATGATGGTGGAGAAACAAGCAAGTTCAAGCGCGAGCCGGGACCGTTGTGTATACTCAGTAGTCATAAATAATAATTTGAACAACAAAGAGCGAGGGAAACAGAGATCGATTGTTGCGTGCTAAGTCTTTTGACTCAGAATATAACAGCGGAATTGAACAACAATAGATAGCTTTTAGTATAAGCACTTCGAACTTCTCTTTTACTTTAAGTATTATGAGATGAATGAATGTGTTTGCATTTAAAATGATTTGACATATGAATATCTTTGGTTGTTGTCATTCTTATGTCTTATTACACTTAACTTTTTAACACTTTTTTTTTCTTTTTTTTTTTTTATCTATTGTATTTAATAGTCAATAATAACACTAGTCCCGTTCTTGGTTGCGCATCGACGGCGCATGGATGGGTAATTTTCATCATAGATCACTAATGGTCTCCGCTTCGGTCAGTGCCTATACTGCGCCAGCACTTATGACCGTTTGTCTTCTTACTGATTATTGGATATATGGAGAACAACCAATATTATCACAAAATCAAGTAGTAAAAGTAGGCGAAATACGAATTTTAAATTATACATATCATCGAATTGGTCTTTGGCGCGAATGTATGAAAGAGAGTCATGGTATGTAATAAAAAATATGAAATAATTCTTTTATTCTTTGTTTGTTTTTATTTTCAATTATTGTTTTTAAGATGCTCCATATACATGTGATCTTGTTAAATATTCTAAAGTTGAAGCAAAATTAGAAAAAGGTTTTAAAGCTGTATCATGTAAGCTCTTTTGTTTTTTTTTGTTATTTATATTATATATATATATATTAAAATAATTTAATATTAAATTAGATCGATCAGCACCAAGTATGATATGTTTTGTAGCTGCATCTATTCTTTTAATTATTGCCATTATTTTATTTACACGTGGTCTGTGTAAACGACGTCGAAAAGCTGTTTTCTTCATCTCAGGACTTTTATTTTCTATTTCAGGTGAATTCTATATATATATATGTGTGTGTATATTTAATATTTTTAAATTTTATAGGTTTAATTACAATGGTTGGTGTCACATTATATGTTTCAATAACAACTGAAGAATTGGTTAAAATTGATCACGATGAACGAGTGATGACATGTTCCTATGGATATTCATTTTTTTGTGCAGTTTTTTCGTTTGTTCTACAAGAATTAACTGGTGTTTTAACTGTTTATTGGTTTATATATCGTTTTCGTGCACTTGTACGAAAACAAGAAAAATTACGTTTTCGTACTCGTCAATTAATGGGAAATTGTTTATCAATGACAACTGCTTTACCATTAAATTTTGCTTCACGTGATACAAATAACATTAACAATAATAATAATAATAATAATAATAATAATAATATGAAATCGATACCTAATCGTACGAATTATCAACTAAATCAAAATCATTATTCTACTTCAAATAATCAACGTTATCAATATACAATCAATAATGCTACATCAGATTCTTTAACATCTAAACAACAAACAGCTTTAGACAGACGACGTATACCATTTGATACATCTGTACCAGTATCAACTCAACATGTTGATAAAATATCTAATTCATTAATTCCACCACAATCACCAACACTTCTCTTTAGAGATTATTGTCGTGTTTTAATTCGTCCAGAAGATATGGATTTACTAAGACAAATGGTGAAATCAAAATCTCAAGCACATTTATTAGCTAACTCAAGGCCAACAACACCAGCATCACCAATAACGACTATTAAAACTCTACCGAATTCACATACACATAAACAAATAACGACTAATATACCAAGACAAAGTGTTCGAAAAAGCGTCAAACGGACTACATCTGTTTAAATATTGGTTTTTCTTTTTGCTTTTGACTTTTATGAGTTCAGATAGTTGAAATTTTTTTTTCTTTTGTATCTGGTGCAACAACAAAATACTAATATTAGCAATATTTATTTTTTCTTTTGTTTTATTTGTTATTCTCTATTTCGTGTGAGTAATATTTATATTTGATTGAAACAAGAACATCAAAAAGAAAGAATTCATGTGTTCTTGACTTTTTCTTTTCTTTGATAATCACCAGACATATTCAATGAATAATATAATATCATTTTGAAGGTTGCTATATTATTACTTTTCAATTGATGAGAAAATAAGTGATCCTACCTTTTATGGGTAATTGTATACGAGAGACTATTTGCAAACTCGTTTTTCTTTCGTCTTTTTTTTTCAAATATATTTACTTTTTCTTCTTGACATTTCCTGCATATTTAGTTGATACTAGTAAAAGTAAAAAACGTGCCGATTGCACTGGATATCATAAACCAATGTTAACGGTCTGTTTATGGTATCTACCTTTTTTTACTCTTTTTTTTTTTTTATTTCTCATACATACGCGATCAAATCCAGACAGACACTTTACAGGAGCCATTTTTATTGTTGTTATTGTTTTTCTATTGTCAATATGCTGCCTGCCATGCAATGTGTCGTCTTTATTTTGTCCGCTTGCAATTTTTTTTCTACATCGTTTTTACACTGTCGTCGTGTTTGACAAAGACACAATACACGCGCTTTGGTTGGCATGACTTAAGTTTATTGCTTGAAGAAGCATCAACATGTCCTTCTAGATTTTTTTTATTTCTTTTCTTTTTTTTTTTTTTTTTTTTATATTTAGCATCGTCTTTCATCGTGCATACACGCACGTTCTTGTGTGCACTCTCAACGAGGAGTAGTAGCAGGAAAAAAGAAATTTTTCAGATTGGATATATAGTCATCGAGAATGAGAGTAGAAAGAAAAACACAAATGGTAATGGTTTCAAAAACACATTTGAGTTGATCAAAGGAGCAACCAAAGAAATGCTGCCGTTGAATTAAAAAAAAAAGAGAGTTTCGTCAGAGCTTCTATTACTAATATTAGTTTTATATTTTGTCTTCAGATTTTTCTGGTAGAATGGCATACACAGGATCAACTTCAAACTATCAAGCAATATATACTGGCAGTACAAGAAGTGGTTCTTCGCAGCAACAACAACAAGCACAACATATTTATGAAGAACAGCCACATTATGTTAATGAACGTCCTATTTCCAGACAAAATTTCGGTGGAGATGATCGACGAAGTGAAAAGGTTTGTTAAATTTTAATTTTGATTAAAAAAAAAGATAATTAGTCATAGAAAATTATACTAATCAAATAATAGATATTATCAGATATACGAACACTCAATTATTAGATTGATTTAAAAAGAAAAAATTAAGACTATGATTTAAATAAGTTTAATTATCACATGATCACTCATAATACCTAGTAAGACTATTCTTATTACAATGGTTTCATATGAAATTTAAAATTGAACATATTCATGAGAAATCTTTTCGTTTTTTTTCTTTTTTTTTGATAATTTCATAATATATTACTATCCATGATGTTTGAAATTAGTATTATACATATATCCACAATGATAGTAACTATGTAGTATAACATTCGAAATAATTCAATTTTCTTGATACATAAAATAGAAGAGAAAAAAAAAAAGTTATCTACATAGTTTCAATAAATATCTGATTGTATTCATAAAACTTCCCCAATGTTATCAAAATATTTACTCTTCATTTATATCCTATCAGTAGAAATACATTTTATTTTATTACTCTGTCTATTGACAATCATTTTATTATTCAATCTAAAATTTATTTCACATACATATATCAATAAGAAGAAAGAAAAAACCGCATAAATTTTATCTGTCTGTAATTTTACTTGTTTCTAAATTGAGAACAAGTAAAAAATAATATTATGATTTAACTTTTTTTTTTTTTTTTTTCATTTGACAAATATATGTATTTAATATAAACCACAAAGTTCGATGTACGCAGAACATTTTTTCGAATTTTTTTTTTTTTCTTTTTACTTAATACTTGACACTTAGACAATATTGAAGAGCAAATAAATTATATTCATAATTCAAATATATAAATCAGCCAATCATCATCATATCGATATTTGATATTATACTAATTTCATCTATTGTGATAACAATGTATTGTTCATTCGTTTTTTTTCTTTATCGAATATATTATGCCTAAATATCCTCTTATAAATTGCATTTCTTTTGTTTTATATTTTAAGCTATGATCAAAAGAAAAGAATTGCTTAGACTTTTTTTTTTTTTTTTTTTTTTTTTTTCTTCCGTAAATCCATCTAGACAATAGCTCGAAGTATGTCGGGAATGTTATTATTTTGCTTCATCGTTTTTCATTTTTATGTCTTCGAATGACTGCTGGTGGTACTTCTACTATAATAACGTCTATAGACATACAAACGAAAAAAGAAAAAAATGTCGAGTGACCGCACTCCTTTATACACAAACGATAGTATGCAGCAAATCTAAAACATAAAGAGAGAATAGGTGACCATATTCATTCTTTCTGCCGTGAGCAAGAATTTCGTCTTATCAAACATCACATGGGTGTGCGAAAAAGAAAGAGATGCAATATCGTCACAAAGATTTAGCGTGTCTCATTCTTTCTTTTTGCATTCATTGCGCTCCTACTCGTTTCTTTCTTTCTTTCTTCCTTTCTCTTTCTCTTTCTCTCTCTCTGAGTCTCAACATGCTTGAATGTTCTATTTGCATGCGAGCTAAACATAGCTGGTCCCTTTGACTTTTTTCTTTTGGTCCCTACCTTATCATAGTTTGTCGACACATCGTTCGCTTTTTTTTTTCTCTTTCTATTCTATTATTACTACGCTACTACGACTAGATCTTTCTTTCGCTGACTCGTCCGATAACACTTCGAAAAAAAAAAAAAGGACAAAGAAAAAGAGAACAGATAAACTCAAATAGAACAAAAAAAGAACGACAAATAGTTCTATATTTTCTTTCTCTCATATATTATAACGAAGTACAGATAGAGTCAACGTGCATGTCTGCATGTCCCTGTGAGTTGTCGACTCACACAATGTGATTGTTATCCTGATCATCGCTTACTATCATTATTACAATCATTATTGTGCATTACTTCATTTAAAAATCAAAAAAATTATTAAAATATGGAAGACGACCAAGATCAAGTTAGTATTTTTTTTATAGTTCATTTTTCATTTTCTAAATTAGAACAAAAAATAAACCATATGCTAATCAAGCTTCGTTCTTTTTTTTTACTTGTCTCAGAAAGAATAACAAACATAAGAATTTACTCTATGCCATCTTTATAACAACGTAAATGTGCTGTAATGCGAGTATAATACATATTTTCTGCAGATGACAGTTAGATAAAGATATTATTTGATGATATACAAGAAGATATGATAGAGAAAATTGCACATAAGGATCTATTTTGATAAATAGCATTAAACGAAAATAATGTATTTACGTTATTGTTTTTTTGCCTTTTTTTAGGTTATTTATAGCAATGCTGACGGAGATTATAATCGATCATTGAATATGAATGCTCGAATAACTAATGGTCACTCATCACATCCATATACTTCATATGGTAGTACCGGTCCAGAACAATTTTCATGTTATTATTGTGAAAGAAATTTATCTGGCTCACGATATATACTTAAAGATGAACATCCATATTGTATTAAATGTTATGAAGATCGTTTTGCTAATACATGTGAAGAATGTCGACGAAAAATTGGTACTGATTCAAAAGTTAGTATTTACAAGAAATATATATATATAATTTTTTTTTTGTTCAAAAGGATCTTTCATATAAAGATCGTCATTGGCATGAAAAATGTTTTTTTTGTTCAATGTGTAAAACACCACTTATTGATAAACCATTTGGTTGTAAAAATGAACAACTTTATTGTGGTGAATGTTATAATCAACAATTTGCTTCACGTTGCGATAAATGTAATCAAATATTTAAACCAGGTAAAGAACAAAAAAAAAAAGAAACGAATTTTCAATACTAATATAAAAATTTATGTTTTGTTTTGTTCTTTTTAGGAACTAAAAAACTTGAATATCGTGGACAACAATTTCATGAACATTGCTTTACTTGTGTTGCATGTTCACAACCTATTGGAACAAAAAGTTTTATTCCAAAAGATCAAAAAAGTTATTGTGTTCCATGTTATGAAGAAAATTTTGCAACGAAATGTACTCGTTGCCTTAAGGTATTAAATATAAACAAGGACAAAAGCTTCCTTCTTTTAGTTCTATTTTCGTTATTTTGTTTTTATCTTTTTAATAACATTCTTTTTAAAAACAACATAGGTTATTGCCCAAGGCGGTGTTACGTACAAAAATCAACCATGGTATACTTTTCTAAATCAGCTAGTCAATTTTTCTCTTGGAAAAAAATATTTTCTTTAGGCATCGTGAATGTTTTACTTGTACACATTGTAAAAATTCATTAGCTGGTCAACGATTTACATCACGAGATGATCATCCTTATTGTGCTGATTGTTTTGCTCGTCTTTTTGCTAAAAAATGTTTTGCATGCAGTAAACCAATAACTGGTAAAATAAAAAAAAAGAAATATTCTTTATAATAATAATAATAATAATAATAATTTTTTTTTAATTATGTTCGATAGGTGTTGGTGGTACACGTTATATATCATTTGAAGATCGTCATTGGCATAATGATTGTTTTGTATGTCAACGTTGTCGAAGTTCACTTGTTGGCCGAGGTTTTCTTACTGATGGTCCTGAAATTCTTTGTCCTGATTGTGGTAAACGAGACCAATACAATACAACAGAAAATAGTGGTTTTAGTGGTGGACAACGTAGTATTGTTAATAACTATCCTAAAACAAATTAAAAAACAGAGATCTTTTTATTCTTCAACGTGCATTTTGTGATGAAATACAAAAAACATAATTGAACGATTGTTCTTTTTTTTTTTTTTCTTTCTGAATGACCAACCAGCTATTCAAATCATTTGTTTTCTTTTTCTTTTTCTTTTTTTTTTTTTTTTCGTTTATTCCATTGAAGCAAATTCAAAACGAATATAGAAACTATAACTTCTTCCATTTTGCTTCTTTTTCTCTTCTTCACTTCATTATGTTTCTTTTTTTTTCTTATTTGTGTTGTCTCTCTCTCTCTCTCTCTCTCTCTCTCTCTTTTTTCTCATATGGTTCTTCTCGTTTCTTTTCTTTTTTTTTTTTTTTTCGATAACGAATAGACAAAACAAATTTTATCAGCATGTACTTTTTGTTATGCAACATATATATGACTCGTTCAATTATGAGAAATGCAACGTTCACTTTTACAATTATAAATCTTATAGTAAATGAAAGGAAAAGACTGGTTTGTTATGAGAAATAACATATTTCATTTGATAACATTGCATTTCTTTGACATATACTACTTCAATGATTTTAATTATGAAGATTTTTGTGATTACATAAGAGAAAAATAGTTGAATTAGATAATGAAATTCATTTGACAGTTGTATTCAATCGATTTGAAAGCATAAAACATAATTTAAATGATTAGAATATTGTAAAAAATCTATGTTTAAAACTATGTTTGTTTGTTTTTTTTTTTTTTTTTTTTGATAATTGAAATAATAGATTGATGTTAAGCTTCTTTAGCTGGACTAAATCAGCAAAATGAAAGAGGAAAAGAAATAGGATGAAATAAACATAAAAATAACAACAATAACATTTAAAAAAAAAATCCACGGAAATGTTCCTTGATTAAATATTACATTGCTTCATTCAACAATGTTTATTTTATTTTCTTCTTTATTTTTCATCTTTTTTCTTCTTTGTTGCATTTGATTTGTCATTGTCATCATTATCCTCTGTGTCTTTTTTCGGTTGTTGTTGTTGTTGTTGTTGTTGTACTTGTTCAAGAGCTGCTCGTACAGCTTCACTGTCAACATCAACACCAGGTAAATCACGAAGGACATCACGTAAAAATTGTGGATCATTGAGAGAAGCTGCAAATGTGTCAGTATTTTGTTGTGTTTCTTCATTAGTCTATTGCAAAAAAATTTTATTCCTAAATAAATAAAAAAAGAAAAATTTTATATATATATTTACCTTTGTTGATTGTTGAGTGTTTGATGGTATATCAGTAGAAGTAGAAGGTTCTTCTTTCATTTCAACATCATTCGTATCTTAAAATAAAGAAAATTTTTCTTAAATTAAAAAAAAAAAAAAATAAACATAACATACTAGCACTTTCAGCTTGTGTCATAGACATTTGAATAGCCAAAGCAATTTGTTCATCTTCCGTAAGTCGAGTTACATCCATTTCATTAGTACCTATTAAAATATTAACATTAATGCTTCTATTTATATATCGTATCATGATAAAAAGAAATTAATCCTACCTGAACTTCCTGTATTTGTCGGTGGATTCTGTTGAGCTCCTTCAGTACCTGTGCTACGACCTATTTCAGCTTCTTGAACACGTCGTTGTTCTTCCATAGAAATACGAAGAGCCTAAAAGAAATAATCACATTTATTACTAGGAGTATAATCTTAATTATTCGATCATGAGACTTTTGTAAAGATGATTTTAAAATTCACTACTTGTAGAATCGAGTGGAGTTGCCAAAAATCTTATGAAATTCTTTGCATAAGCTTCATGAATAACTCCGTAGTTTCATATCATAATACAGATCTAATAAAATTGAATGTCTAGTCTTCTATAAGATTAGAACTTCAGCAGTAATTATAACTTTCTAGGGTGACAATGGTTCTAGGATTCTACGCAATTTTGGATATAACAACGGAGTCTAAGATTTCTCATAGATTTCTATATCCATAATTTCCTCTTTTCTACTTGTCATACAATTACAATGGTATCCTATGTATGTATTCGAGCTCCGTGTAATCAAAATAAAATAAAAAAACTAACCATAGCTAATTCTGGATCATCTTCAGGATTTATTCCAAATGCAAAAGCACTTGCTGAATAACCATTTGGTAGACCTGAACCATCTTCACTTTGAATAATTGGTGTATTAATAAGTGCATCAGGTAAATTAGCTCCGGATGCTACACATATCAAATGAGAACTACAATCAATTCAAATAAATTGTCTATTTATATTTGTTTAGATTTATTTTTTTCTATTTACTTTGTATTCTCTTTTCCATTAATAACTGTAATAAATTCTTCGAATTTCTCACGTGAAGACTAAATATAAACAAACAGTATGTAAATAAATTCATATGTTCTGTTTATCAAAAAAACAAAAATCTTACCTCTTCACCAAAGACAACAATATCAATTGATATTTTTTCTTTTTTTAATCGTTTTGCTAATTTAGTAAATTCATTAGGATCAACTTCTAATGGACTACCAACAAAAACAACAATACGAGGTCGATGATTTTTTCCTAGTCGATGTTTTAATGCTAACTATTTCAAGAAAACAAAAAACAAATAAATGTCAATAATTTATAATCATGCTTTTTGAAAATAATAGTTAATAGAAATCATTCAGTTCGAAGATATATTTTGTTAACGTGTAATGCTCTCTTACTATAATAATCAGTTATCAGTAAGAATCGAATAAATGAACTTTCATCTGAAGTTTTCCTTTAAATCTCATAATCCTGGAAATAAAATCTGAAACAGCCTAGTTCGAATATATGAAATTTGTTCGTTGTTTAAAGAAGGACAATGAGACATAGTCGAAAATTCTTAATTTGATTTTTTTTCTAAATAACTTATCTATACTGAAGTCATAATAAAAATATTCATGTGTACAAATAATATATTTCGTTTCATTAAGATTTACAACTCTCTAATAATAAAAAATAGTAACTTCCAAAAATAATCAACGTTGCAAGAGAAATGAAAGAAAAACATTGAGGTCAGTTTCATACGAGCAAACATATGTCAAAGTAAATATTTGATTATCATCTGATAGCCTTTTCTCTTCTCTTTTGTAAGAGATATGACATATTGTTATAGGTCATTTGTAAAAAAGAATGGCACGTGATAAAAGAGAATCTCAAGTAACACGTATTTACAACTTTTATTCTGACTCTTTAAATAATCTCGTGAAAATTACGGTCGACACCCACACTCACACTCTGACTTCTTGAAAACACGCTGAAAAAAACTAATTAACCATGGTGAAATACGCTCATAGAGCAAAACACGAAAGAGACATGTGACATGCCCACGCGCGAGTTTGTCTCGCGGATCTCTGTTACGGAAGTATTGTCATGATGGAACTATAAAATATTTGCCAAAAAAAAGTGATCGATCTCGTAAGATTTCAGACAAACAATTGAATAGTATCGTTAAATCTGTGAACAATCGATGTGATCTGAATTGACGAAAACTACGATGACGATTTGGGATACATTATTAAACTATTTGATATAATCTGACAGAAAAAAAAAACATTAATCATTATTAGAAAATCTCTGACAATGGACAAGAAATTCGTAGAAAAATATATCGGAAATTGTTGACCGTTTGCGATCTAATTTTGAATGATAAAAATATTTCAAATTAAATAGCGGCAACGACGTCAACAATCGATTCTTTTATTCGATTAATCCAGCTACGACTTCTCCAAACAGTAAATTTCAAAACAAAAAACAAATTTGAACCAAAGATGATGCTGGTTTGAATAGCCATGTCATCGACAAAAGTATCTAACATGTATATCCATAGAAGCAAGCAAGTTGTTCTTGAAGCCACATATTTTAAAGAATATATTAATAAAAGACTTTTCTTTTATAGAAAAATGTCATCATGATGGAAAATTATCGTTTGTGACTCGATTAGACAAGTTCTCATTATCCAAATATTGTAAAGGAACATTTGAACAAGAAAAATATATCATTCATTTCTCGTCAGAATGCTAATCCTCGAAATCAATTGAAATCGCTTAGGCTCTACTCAAACGAAAAAGTGTATGAAAATAATTGGGAAGTAAAAAATTTTGATGCATTAGCTCGAATGATTAAACACAAAGCAAAAAAACTTGATCAAAAAAATATTACAAACTATAGTTAAAAATGTTCGAAACCATCTCCGAGCTATGTAGCAAAACAAACTTCATTCAGTTTATTAAGTACAGTTTTTTGTATAATTAGCGCTGAAGTATCTAGGCTAGAAATTTCCAGCTTTCTCACAGACTGCGAGAAAACATTGTTGATATACGACGACAGACTGTATATCAATAACGTTTCTTCATTATGATATACGAAGTATTTCCTCATTACAGTTCAAAAGGATTAAGAAAAAAGGATGGTGAGGAAATGCACACAAAATAAATAGAATAAAATAATTTTCCCATGATTAGCAAGAGCAGTTATATCGTGTTTCATATTTTAATCTTCCACGGATTGCGCTAACAGCGTTTTGTAGTATGTTTCATGCTCGTTCTAATAAAAAAGATTTGCAATTTGTAAAGTGATTGAGGGTGTGGAGTTCAACATTTATTTCTTTTATTAAATGATATCTGTCTGCAAAAATCTTTTTTATTTTAAGAAAACAACTTACATTAGCTACTTTAATGCCTTTACAAAAATCAATTTTTCCTTCTATTGGTAATAAATGTAACTTTGAAAAGACCTTGCCAACATCACTTGTCAATTGAGTAACAACACGACCACTAAAATTAAAATAAATATTTTTTATATTAAACATAAAAACATGTAGAATATTTTATATATATATAAATTTTTTTTTTTTACTCTGCAAGTGTAAGTAATCCAACATTATTTTCTGGATTTGATCTTGTCTTAGCATGAAATATAAGCGAAACAGCATCTTGTTGTGCTTGCATTCTTGTCGGAATAAAATCTCCATCACGCATAAAATCACTATTATCAATACTA